AATTCTACAGCAGAACCACCCCTGGTTAGTTGGTGTTGAAACAAGTATAGAAATATTTTGTTCTTACATCTTCCATAAATCTCTGTGAAAGGTTCCAGACTCAGTTACCTATAATGTAACTATCTCTATAACACACCCTTGTTTTGTTTTCCCTTTTCCATTTTACTGTACCTGTCCTATATGTCTGCTCCTGGGATCACTTTCAAGTCAACTACCTATCTGGCAAGATGTTGCCTAACAGTTTGTCTTACAAACACTGTTTTTATTTTACAAATGGAACAATTTGGTGCTTAGAAATAGAAATTTCTATTTCTAATAATTTTTTATTTCTATTTAGTAATTGGAATATTTCTATTTTTTCATTTTTGACATCCATTTGCATTTTAATCTTTAATAAAGTTGAAAATTTAGTAATGATGAAATGAATTATGAAGGTGCCAGAAAATTAGACCTAGTAGTAGTTTGGGGTCTTTGTAAACTCCTAGATAAAAACAGAGAGAGAGAGAGAGAGAGATAGTTTTACAAAAAAGGTAAGCAAGGTATCTTAACATCAAGATACATGCAAGTAGAGACAAACCACAAGTAGGCACAAAATATGACTGTTAGCATTTTTGTGGGAGAAATCAGAGGGCTACAACAAGGCGTTTCACTAATTCAAGAAAAAAGAGAAAAGGTATTCACCTTAAAGTGCAGCAGGACAAGTCAAGGAGAAAGCAGAAATTCCATCAGTATTCAATGCAATCTACCTGTGTACATTCTCAAAAGAGACCAAGCAGATCCTTTCAGGACAGGACTTCACAATAAGGAAAACCTGCTGGGAGTGGAATCAAATTGAGAAGGACAGGGACAATGGAGATAATGGAAAGGAAAGATTCAGATAAAGGGTAGGAGTGGAAAAGAGCAACAAAGTCAAAGACAGCATGAATGCTACGTGAAAATAGCAAAGTGTGCTCAGCAAAGTTAGAAAATACAGCTGAACCAAACCACCTACTAAAGTTACAGGAAACAATTCACATGAAAAGAAGCAGCAGAAAAGTATTAAGGTAAAATTCCACAGAAAGCTATTAATAAGAAAATAGAAAATAAAGAAATAGAATCACACTTCTATAAATAATTACAACATTCCAGAAACATACGTAAAAAATCAAAATTACAATATTTCAAAATGAGCTAAGAAACACTGAGTAATATGACAATGTGTTTATCAGAGAACATAAATCAGAAGTAGAAAAATGCATGAAGAACATGACAGAATTAAAGAAAAAATTTAAAATAAAAAAACTATTTTACAAATGAAGACTAAATCATAATTATCACAAAAATAAATAAACATATGTCACATTAACAGAATGAAGGATAAAAATCACACAATCATCTCAGTAGGTGCAGAAAAATCATTTAACAAAATGCAACACAGTTTCATGATAGAAACTCTCCACAAATTAGGTATAAAGAGAATGCATTCCAACAAAAGGAAGACCAAGTATGATAAATCCATAGCTAATATCATATTCAGTCATGAAAAGCTAAAAGCTTTTCTTCTAACCCCAGAAACAAACGGGTGCTGACTCCACTTCTGTTCAACATAGAATTGGAAATCCTAGCCAGATCAATTAAGGAAATAAAAGGCATCTAATTTAGAACTGAAGAAGCAAAATTGTCTGTTTGCAGATGACATAACCTTATATAAAGAGAAAATCCCGAAAATGCCACAAAAAACTATGAGTATTAATTAATGAATTTAGGAAAGCTTCAGACACAAAGCCAACATGCAAAACTCCAGTTGGAATTATATTCACTAACAACAAACTATCCAAAAAGAAATTAAGAAAAAGTCCTATTAACAATAGCATCAAAAATAATAAAAATACTTAGTAATTAATTTAACCAGGAAAGCTAAAGTACTGTACATTTCATCAGTACTAAAACACTGATGAAAGAAATTGAAAATAGAAATAAATGGAAAGAGATCCCATGTTCACAGATTAGAAGAACTAATATTGCTAAAATGTCTGCACTATCCCGTGAGCTATAAATTTAATACTATCTTTACCAAAACTCCAGTGACATTCTACACAGAAACAGAAAAAATTCTAAAATTCATATGGTGTCACAAATAGCCTGATTTCAAAATAAACTATAATTACAATAAAAGAATATAATACTGGCATAAAAATTGACATATAGATAAATGCAATATAGAGCTCAGAAATAAATTCATGTACCCCTTGTCAACTGATCTTTAACAGGTGCCAAGAATGCACAATCAGGAGAGTGTAGTATTTTCAGCAAATGATGTGAAGAAAACTGGATATACACATCAAAAAAATGAAATGGACCCTTATCTCAGCCCATATGGAGAAATCAAAGTAGATTAAATACTTAAATGTACAACTTGAAACTATTAAACTATTAGAAGAAAACATGGGACAAAGTTTCTTGACTTTGATGTGGGAAATAGTTTTTTGGTCATGACAAAAAAGCACAGGCTTCAAGAGCAGAAATAAATAAATTGGATTTCATCAAACTAAAGAGATTCTACACAATGAAGGAACCAATTAAAAGAGTGAAAAGTCAACTTACAGAATGGGAGAAAAAACTTGCCAATTATACATCTGATAAAGCATTAATATTGAAAATGTACAATGAATTCAAACAACTCCCTAATAGAAAACAAATAATCCAATTAAAACATGAGAAAAGAACCTGAATATTCATGGCTCAAAAGAAGAGATAAAAAGGGCCACCTGGTATATGAATTGTACTAGACATCACTAGTCATCAGGAACATGCAAGTCAAAATATGATGAGATACATTCTCACATTTGTTGGGATGTCTATTATTAGAAAAACAAAATATAAGGCTTTGTAAAAATATAGAGAAAATTGAACCCTGGTACATGGTTGGCAGTAATATAAACTGATATAGACATTATAAAAAACAGTATGGAAGCTCCTCAAAAAATTAAAAACAGCTTTTCATATAGTACAGCAATCCTATTTCTGTGTATATATGCAAAGAAAATGATACCAATATCTCAAAGAGACATCTATATTCTCACATTCATTGCAGTATTATTCATAATAACCAAGATATGGAAACAATCTATATGTTCATCAATAGGTAAGTAAACAAAAAAAATATGAAAAACCCCAACTTTAAAGACCCAATCCAAATACAGGCATCTGAAATGGATACTTCTCAAATGAAGTAGAAATGGCAAATAAATATATGTAAAAATGTTCAACATCTCTGCTCATTCGAGAGATGCACATTAAAACAATCCTGATTCCATCTCACTGCAGAAAGAATGCCTACTGTCAATAAATCAACCAATAACTAATGCTGGTAGGACTATGGGGGGAAAAGGAAACTTTCTTCATTATTGGTGGGTGCAATCACTGTGGAAATCAGTGTGGAGATTTCTCAAAAAATTAGGACTACAGGTTCCATTTGACTCAGTTATTCCCCTTCTTGGTATCTTCCTGAAAGAGTTAATAGCATCATACCACAGAGATATATGCACATCCATGTTTATTGCAGCACAGTTTGTAATGGCTAAATCTCAGAAAGAGCCCAAATGTGCATCAACCGATGAATCAGTAAAAAGATGTGGTTTTCTTATACAATACAGTACTACTCTGCCATAAAGAAGGATAAACGAGATATTTCTAGGTAAATGGATGCACCCTGAGACCATACTCTTAAATGAAATAAATTGGACACACATGTTCCAATACCACATTGTTTCTCTGCTGTGAGGAACTAAAAGGGTAAATATGGACCAAAATATATAATAGATATTGTGAAATAGGAAGAAAATGTTCAAATGAGAAGGGGAACTAGGGAGGTTGGAGGGGGAAAGGGAGGATGAAAAAAGTAAAAAAGGAGAAGAGAAGGAAAAATGGAAACAAAGCTTTTGTTTAAGGAGGAGATGAGGGGTTGAAGGGAGGAGAGGAAAGGGAGAAAAAAGACGAATAAAGATATATTATGTACAGGTACAAATTCCATATGATGAATGTTATCATTATGCATATCTAAAATGTCCCAATAAAATTAATTTTTAAAAATGATATCATGTTGTATACCTAATACATACAATTTTTATTTGTTATTTAAACAGCAATAAATCTAAGGAAAAAGTCAACAAACACAACAACAATGCCTTTATAGAAATCAGTGAAAACTTTCAAAAGCCAAAAGTAAATGAAAAGTGGGGAGAGAATATGAAGTTGTTTAAAGCTTGGGGGGATGAAAATGTTCTAGAGCTGGATAATGATGGTGGTAGAGGATTCATAACACTGTAGATGTATTTAATGCTATTTAGTTGTACACTTAAAATGTTTAAACGACATATCTAATATTACATACATTATTTTATCTCAACTTAAAAAGTGAAGACTATTAAAGTAAATGAGGAAAAAAGAGAAAATGACAAATATTGATGGTAGTCCAGCAATCCTCAAAAAAACACAAGAAAATAAACAAATATAAATGCTATGATTCAAGGAAATTTTCCTAAAATTAAAAAAGAAACAATATATTAGAACACAAAACCTGAGAATATTGACCTATACAAGCAATATATACACATAATTTAGTAAAATTAATAGGCTTTATAAAACAGGAAAAAATTATTTTTCATCTATGCAAAATTAGTACATGACTTACATGACAGTTTTTAAAAAGTAGATTATCATCAGGGCTTTTCAAAAATGTTTTAATTGACAAACAAGAATTGTATGTACAAGTATTTACAGTTAACAGCATGATGGCTTAATACATGTATTTACTATGGACAGACTAAATCTATTTAATTAACATATGCATTACCTAACATACTTTGTCATTTTTTATGATGTGAACATTGAAATCTACTCTCTTCCCAATTTTTTAAGACTATAATACCTTGTTATATTGTTACACTTTGATAACTACATTGTAAGATTGATCTCCTGAATTCATATGCTGTAATCATCATCTCCCCAATCTCACTTACCACAGACTCTAGTAACTGCCATTCTAGTCTTTGCTTCAATGAATTCAACACTTTTGGATTCCACGTGTAAATGAGCTCATGCAGTATTTGCTTCACGTGCCTGCTTTATTTCACTTAACATAAATGTCTCCCAAGTTCGTCCATGTTGCCATAAATGACAAGATTTCTTTCTGTATTTGACAGCAGCACATTAATGCCAATAAACAATGAAGCCAACACACAAAGACACATAAGGGAAGAAAATGAAAAATGCATAAATGCCATAGCCTTTAAAAAGTAATCAACCTGTAGGAACTCAGGAAATGTCATTCTCATTGGTCCTTCCTCTGGAATTTACTAGAGAACAAGCTTCAGACAACTGAAATGACTAAGGGGACACTGACAGAAAAATTAGGGGGATCATTAGATGTACATTAGATTAACTCATAGAATTAATTAATGCAAAAGGTATTCTAGACTTTAATGACTGTCCAATATGGAAATATAAATATTGCACAATTCTATAAAAATAGGGGAAGAATGGAGACAGCGTATGAAAACATATCTGACCTCTTTCAGATATCAAATAGAATCTCTTAATTTTGTTATTCTGGGACCGTTGTATATATAACTTTAAAAAACAATAGAAAGTGAGTATTCTGGAACATTCTATTACATCACTTTTTAAATCCATGGGAACCAGGATTCTCAGTGTAGATGGAAAAAAAAACACAGATGTAGTATGGAAAAGGAAAGTAAAATCATAAATTAGAATGAATTTACTGTGATAAAAACTAGAATCCATGTCAAATGCAAGTCCAATGAGTAATTATGGAGCCTGGATTTTGTTCTTTATATCCCATTTCTTACAAATACTGGGTCATCAGAGAAAAATGGCTGATTCTAGGTCTGGAGTGAGAATTGTGCAGGACAATTGGCAATATTTGGACATACTAGAATTCAAAAAGGACCATTCTGTAAAGTCAAAAGATTTCAGAGGCAAATTGGAAGAAGCTCACGTTGACCAATGATAGCACAAAATAAAGTATTACGGAGAATAAAATTAACAATTCCTTTAAATCTATCAAAATTTTTTGTGTATTAAATACTTTTATTGGTACATTGTAGGTATACAACACAATTACATTTCTCACTGGGAATTGTACCTTTACATAATGGATCTTCGTTCTTATTTTTTCCCCATTCCTAGCCCTCCCTTCATGCCCTCCACCTTTCCCTATTTAGAAAGACTTTATTTCCATTTTTTCCATTTCTCATCATTTTTCCTTTCCCT